CGCAGCCGCTTCAACTGCTGACACATTTTCCTTAAAATCTTGGAGCAACAACTTTCCTTCAAGAATATCAATTGCATTTGGAATACCTCTTAGCAGAATGTTCATTTTGTACTTCCATGTGATCCAATTAGCGTTAACTTCAAAAAATACTACATGAACTTTGCTTGGATTCATCCTCCTAATGATTTAAAATTGAGAAGAAAATATGAAAAGTATATTCAACACACATAGATCATAGGTCATTCTAGTTTACAAATATAAAATATGTAGATAATAAATATGACCAAGGACGTATATAAGTGGGGGGTTGAAAATTGATCTGAATAAATTATTTTTATTGAAGAAAAATAAACGTTTTTGGGCGAGGCACCCGAAAAAAAAATTCGCCTTTAACGATATCCTGATGGGCTTCAGAGTTGGGCGGTACTCGGGTACGGTACGAGTACTCTTCACTTGTACTCTTAATATATTTTTAGTTACTCGGTACTCAGGCCAAGATACTTTCTGAATCGCGTACTTGTACTCGTACTTGGAATGCTTAAGAATATAGAAAATAGCAGGTACCCGGTACTTAAAATTATTGGACTCTAACTAAATACATATTTATTTGGCCACAAGTACATTTCCAGACAAGTTGAGATTTGACATTAGGTCTGTTCCAACACGTCAAAAACCGCCCCATGAACGATTTTGAAACCACTCAGTGAACAAATTTCGGTTTCTACGCGCAAATTTTACAGTTTGCGCAGAATCGTGACGATAAATTGTACGGTTTCCTGCTGTGTTGGAACTATTATGTTACGGTTACGATATGACCAATTTTCAGCCATTTCTTGTTCAGCATCAGATGCTTAGCATGCGTTCCATTGATCGTTGTGATTTGCAAACGAAAATTTTGAAGTTTTCTGTGCACTGTGACACTGTGACATTGTGCCTGTGGCCATAAATTTGGAAATTCTGATTTCCTTTTACAATAATTATCAAAAGCTACCTTGAAGCACAACCCAAACACGGTCATAAGCAACCCAATTGCACTATGAGACTCCGAACCCAAGGTTCATTTTCGAGAAAATCAGCTTTGAATCTTTTGTGAAATTTAAGACAAAGTTTTGACTTTGAGCCTCAATATCTCCAGAAGTACTTAGGATAGAGAATTGAATTATATTCTATCTTGAAGATAATTTAATTCTGATTCAGAATATATAATTTTACATTATATTTGTTGCAATAATAACCGATTTTGTGAGACAATGTCAGATTATTGAAATTTTCTGAGCTCAAAAATTGCAAAAATCATTTTTATTTTTTTTACAAGCTCTAAAACCCAAAAAACAAAGTTGCGTTAATGCTTTTCCACTAAATTTCACCTCCGCTTTCGATTGGTACAGTCAAAAATTGCAAAATCCAAAAATTTAAAAATTCAAATTTTCTCAAAGGGGTAGGTACCTACCCTATGCATGGGAATTTGATTTTCAAATATTTCAAAGAGCCATATTTTGGAAACTAGTGAAGCTATCGGCGTAAATCTTTTGTTCTATTGTAGCTCTTCAGAAGGGCTATAAAAAAGGTTATTTGAGACTCCGAAACCAAGGGCTTCGTTTTCGAGAAAATCAGCTTTGAATCTTTTGTGAATTTTGAGACAAAGTTTTGAATTTGAGCTTCAATATCTCCAGAAGTATTTAGGATAGAGAATTGACTCTTATTCTATCTTAAAGATAATTTAATTCTGATTCAGAATATATAGTTTTACATCATATTTGTTGCAATAATAACTGAGTAATTAGCGATTTTGTGAGACAATGTCAGATTATTGAAATTTTCTGAGCTCAAAAATTGCAAAAATCATTTTTATTTTTTTACAAGCTCTAAAACCCAAAAAACAAAGTTGCGTTAATGCTTTTCCACTAAGTTTCACCTCCTCTTTCGATTGGTACAGTTAAAAATTGCAAAATCCAAAAATTTAAAAATTCAAATTTTTTCAAAGGGGTAGGTAGGTACCTATGCATGGGAATTTGATTTTCAAATATTTCAAAGAGCCATATTTTGGAAACCAGTGAAGCTATCGGCATAAATCTTTTGCTCAATTGTAGCTCTTCAGAAGGGCTATGAAAAAGGTTAGTTGAGACTCCGAAACCAAGGGCTTCGTTTTCGAGAAAATCAGCTTTGAATCTTTTGTGAATTTTGAGACAAAGTTTTGAATTTGAGCTTCAATATCTCCAGAAGTATTTAAGATAGAGAATTGAATCTTATTCTATCTTAAAGATAATTTAATTCTGATTCAGAATATATAGTTTTACATCATATTTGTTGCAATAATAACCGAGTAATTAGCGATTTTGTGAGACAATGTCAGATTATTGAAATTTTCTGAGCTCAAAAATTGCAAAAATCATTTTTATTTTTTTTACAAGCTCTAAAACCCAAAAAACAAAGTTGCGTAAATGCTTTTCCACTAAATTTCACCTCCTCTTTCGTTTGGTACAGTCAAAAATTGCAAAATCCAAAAATTTAAAAATTCAAATTTTCTCAAAGGGGTATGCATGGGAATTTGATTTTCAAATATTTCAAAGAGCCATATTTTGGAAACCAGTGAAGCTATCGGCATAAATCTTTTGCTCAATTGTAGCTCTTCAGAAGGGCTATGAAAAAGGTTAGTTGAGACTCCGAAACCAAGGGCTTCGTTTTCGAGAAAATCAGCTTTGAATCTTTCGGGAAATTTGAGACAAAGTTTTGAATTTGAGCCTCAATATCTCCAGAAGTATTTAAGATAGAGAATCAACTCTTATTCTATCTTAAAGATAATTTGATTCTGATTCAGAATATATAATTTTACATCATATTTGTTGCAATAATAACCGAGTAATGGGCCATTTTGTGAGACAATGTCAAATTATTGAAATTTTCTGAGCTCAAAAATTGCAAAAATCATTTTAATTTTTTTACAAGCTCTAAAACCCAAAAAACAAAGTTGCGTAAATGCTTTTCCACTAAATTTCACCTCCTCTTTCGTTTGGTACAGTCAAAAATTGCAAAATCCAAAAATTTAAAAATTCAAATTTTCTCAAAGGGGTATGCATGGGAATTTGATTTTCAAATATTTCAAAGAGCCATATTTTGGAAACCAGTGAAGCTATCGGCATAAATCTTTTGCTCAATTGTAGCTCTTCAGAAGGGCTATGAAAAAGGTTAGTTGAGACTCCGAAACCAAGGGCTTCGTTTTCGAGAAAATCAGCTTTGAATCTTTTGTGAATTTTGAGACAAAGTTTTGAATTTGAGCTTCAATATCTCCAGAAGTATTTAAGATAGAGAATTGAATCTTATTCTATCTTAAAGATAATTTAATTCTGATTCAGAATATATAGTTTTACATCATATTTGTTGCAATAATAACCGAGTAATTAGCGATTTTGTGAGACAATGTCAGATTATTGAAATTTTCTGAGCTCAAAAATTGCAAAAATCATTTTTATTTTTTTTACAAGCTCTAAAACCCAAAAAACAAAGTTGCGTAAATGCTTTTCCACTAAATTTCACCTCCTCTTTCGTTTGGTACAGTCAAAAATTGCAAAATCCAAAAATTTAAAAATTCAAATTTTCTCAAAGGGGTATGCATGGGAATTTGATTTTCAAATATTTCAAAAAGCCATATTTTGGAAACCAGTGAAGCTATCGGCATAAATCTTTTGCTCAATTGTAGCTCTTCAGAAGGGCTATGAAAAAGGTTAGTTGAGACTCCGAAACCAAGGGCTTCGTTTTCGAGAAAATCAGCTTTGAATCTTTTGTGAAATTTGAGACAAAGTTTTGAATTTGAGCTTCAATATCTCCAGAAGTATTTAAGATAGAGAATTGAATCTTATTCTATCTTAAAGATAATTTAATTCTGATATAGAATTTATAATTATACATTATAATTTGTGCAGTGTGCAACCGATTACTGAGTCCTTATAAACTCTGGACTCTGGATAACCAAATCAAACTTCAAAATTGCTGAATTCATTTAGTAAACCAAAATGTGTTTTTCAATTTTTGATGTGTGAACATCTATACCGGCGGTTTGATCGTAAATTTCGGGAAATGTGACAGTAGTGTGCTAGGGAAAGTGACGTCATAATCCATGTGCAATGCTCAGTGCAATGCCAAGTTCGCAGCTACCTTATCGCTTGCAGCCTATGAGGATTCATTAGATTTTCTTGATAAATGTTGCTTAAAAGAGGACGTTGCGTAATAACTTGTACCTATGACATCATTGGGTAGGAATGCAAGGTGGTATAAGAATGTATTCATGAATGTACATGGTACTTTGAGTACTTGGGTATTGAATACTTGTAATTGTACTCTGTACTCAAGAATATTCTACGCTAAGTACTTGTACCCGGTAGCCGAGTACATTTTGCCTGTACTCGAAACAGCTCTGACTATGCTACGCCCGGTCGCCTATACATCGTCTGGTCTAAAATTGAAACCCTTTCCAGCATAGATCATGAGCGGCCATTACTGCTCTAAACCCCCTCCCATGTGAAAGCTATAGCTACATCGTTGAATATGACTAAGGTCACAACACTTCCATATAAGATGTAGAATGTTCTTCATCAGTACATGGTTCTGATCCGCACACCACCTTTTTACATAAATAATTTCAACAATCCAATAAATCTCGATCCACGGATATTCATAATGTCCTAAAAACATACTAAACAAAATTGCAAAAATCATTACACAATAATTACAATTATTCATTATCCAATCTTAATGCTCATTCACGTAAAAACTTATTACCATATTCGACTAATTAAAAATCACTTGCAAAACAGTTTTCTAATTAAAACACCCATCATTTTTCTATTATCCTGCACGTCTGGGTGGATGGTTGTCTAACCTCAACTGGGCACTCTGCTCCAGTAGGTTATATGGAATTGGAGCGTTCAAATAAAATGAAAGGCAAATAGTTTTTGCATCTAGTGTAAACACCGTAGATATTACAATTACATTTTTTTTTCTAGGGTACTGAATCAGAAAGAATCACGTTCACTTCATCCGGCCAAAACGAAGCTAAAAATCTCATGTTTCCTGATATCCGATTGGTTGACGGTCCAACAATCTTAGCTGGAAGACTTCAAATTAAAATCAACGACAAATGGAGAAGCGTTTGTTCCAACTCAAAAAAGTATATATACACAAAATCAATCAAAACCTAATAAAACTTCTTTACCCTATTTTAGCTGGACAATAAATGATTTAGAAACAGCCTGTCGTCAAATGGGCTTTCAAGGTGGTACATTCTTCCAGTGGTACAACAGACAAATGCCTTTGAAATCCAGAGTTCTCTACGAAGAGCCCAGATGTTCTGGTACCGAAAGCAGCCTACAACAGTGTAGTTGGACTAGTCATGAAATGGGTTCGGGTGTTTGCGATTATCATCCAGATTTGGGCATCGAATGTTTTCCAAGACATGATACTGCTAAGCCTTATTGGAGAGGCATTCGATTCGAGCATGCGCAAAACGAAAATTATCTTTCGCTTTATAATACACTTTTCACACCTCAATCCTTATCGAGTTTGAAATATGTTAACATTCATTATGCTGGAGTGGGACGTGACCATAATACGAGCAGTGCTATTGAAGTGGAAGGAGTGCCACCTGTAATGGAAAATTTGGAAGTCATTAGCTCGGCTTATAATGGATTAAATCTAACTAACCCAGGAGCTCCAATAAAAATCAACAACTGCACTATAAGAAACAATAGAGGATATGGGATTTATATCAACTCCAGCTATGGACTAACTCATATTGATGGTTGCGTTATAAACGACAATGGCGGAGATGGTATAAGATACGTCAAAGCTGAAGAGCGTCCTGATGATGGTGTTGATAGAAGAGGGTACAGCGATTTCTGTCAAGTAGCTGTAATCTCTAGCCAAGTATTTCCTATTTACTTATTTGCCGAGCAAACAGTGCAAAGCCGCTTAGAACACAACTGCAACAAAGTCTTCACAACTAAATATGGCCACGTTTTAACTTTGGACTTTATTAGAGCTGTGACTGATAGAAATTTTAGTGCTACCTTGCAAGTTTACGATGGTTCAGCTTTAAACAATCGTCTTCTGCAAACCATCGAAATAAGAAACAACAGTAGACCTCAAAGCATTGTAACAACGGGCAATCAAATGTATATAAACTTCAGATCGGATCCATATACTGACACAGTAGTATTTCTGAGACTAATGTCTGGATTAAGTAAAACTTACGATCTCAATATAAGCCGCTCTGATGTCTCAGAAAACTTAGGACGAGGCATTGCAATAGATAATCTCAGATCACAAATCCATATTCATAAAACCTCAGTATCCAAAAACGAACATGTAGCAGGCATTCACGTAACAAATGGAGTTGGTGATATTAATATCACAGAAAGTCGTGTTAGCTTTAATGAAGGTGATGGAATTAATATTACTTATACAGGAGGTTCTAGAAATATTTCCAGATCTTCTATAAGCAGCAATAAAGGTTACGGGGTGGCGGTTTGGCTGAATAATACCAAAGAAACCGAGTTCCTATTTGTTAACCAAACCAGCGTGGTACAGTACACAGAAATTTATAAAAATCTGGATGTTGGTGTGCTTCATGGCAACTATTGTGGACCAGCCTTATTTAATTTTACCGGAAATTCGTTTACAAACTCCCTCAGTGATGCTTTGGAGGTGCTGAGTTGCTGGGAAAAGACTGATCATTATACTTCATTGCAAATCGGGCACAATAAGTTTATTGGAAACGAAAAAATATCTTTAAAAATTTATCCTGCAGTTAATCTACAAGCTAATGTAGAATATAATCATTTCAGACAAGGTACTTTTGGGGCTTTACTTATCAAAAACAAGCCTCTAGAAGAATTCAATGTTTTAAAAAACGACATTTTAATACAGCAAAATTATTTTTTGAATAATTCTGGGATATTTGTGGCTAATCTAGCACTATCTCCTTACGCAGAAAAGCAATATTTATTATTTACTAGAAATTTTGTTAAAAACAACAAAATATCTGAACCGTTTCAACCTTTAGATGGCTCAATATCCAACCTCAATCCTAGAAGTCGTGTCGCTGCGCCAGTAGTCATTGGTTCAGATAATATTGAGATATTCAGAAATATTATTGAAAATCCCGAATCAAAATACGAAATTGGAAGCCATTTGGAAGACCAAAGCAAGATTATCAATGCCACATATAACTGGCTAGGCTCTGGCACTGATGAATTGATTTACCATAGGATATTTCACAGATACGACAGATACAATTTAGCTAAGATTAAGTTTGTACCGTTTTTGTTACACAATTCAAATCCTTTAACAACAAAAATCAACCCTTACCAGCTTTATGTACCAAAATTTAGTACGTCAACATCAGATAAAGTAGGAGGTGAAATTGAGGGTGAAGAAACTTTAAGCAAAGGTGAATATATTGTCGAAAGAGACATCACTATAAGACCTGGAGGTAAACTAACCATAGAACCTGGAGTCACTTTACGTTTCCCACCCTCAATAGGAATGATGGTTGGAGGTAGACTGGAAGCAAGAGGCATCGAACCTGACAGTATTAGATTAACTTTAAAAGAAAACATACTTTACCCACCCGAAAATGATACAACTGCTGATTTAACAGAAGCCGAAACAGAAATAGTACAAATTGAACCGAAAGCTACAATACGACTTCTTGGAGGCAATGCTGAGACAGAAGGCCGATTGCAAGTTAAAATAAACAACCAATGGGGCACTGTTTGTAATTACGGTTGGACTATGCAGAATGCAGCTTTAGTTTGTCAGCAATTAGGATACGTCCTAAACCCTAACGATTGGTACTTGGAACGCATCGAAATTCCCGATGCTGGAAAAACTGACCCCATTATATTATCAAACGTGGATTGTCAAGACTATGATTTTGATGTTAGTAAATGTAGAGCGGAACATTTATTAGATTTTGCTAATTCCTGCAATCATGATAATGACGTTGGTATTCGATGTTATAAAACTTCATGGGCCGGAGTACGGTTTGGAGCTTTAGCTGAAAGATCTGATCTGCAATATGTAACTGTAGAGCAAAGCGGGCTTTTGGATTATGCTACAAACACTTTCAAGCCTGCTTTGCAATTGGATTTTGCTAGACAAAATTTCGAAAACCTTAAAATCGTCGATAACTTCTTTCATGGATTAGGGGTGATGTATTCGAATATTTACACCGATGATTCGGTGAACATAATTAAAAATTCTGAGTTTTTGAACAATAAAGGAGCGGGCATTAGCATGAAACAATTAGGATTCACTTTGTATAATAACAAGATTGAAAATAATTTTATTGGAATCGAACATAATCCTGTTTTATCTGGATTGCAGCAACGTGAATTGGCTGGTTGGTTTACAAGGAATGACGAAGAAACTGATTATAATCCTTTCCAGATTCCTGAGAGGTCTGATCTTGGTGCTATTGAAGTTAAACGTGGTGATACAAAATATTTGGTTACGTCCAGATTTATTGGTAGAATTATTCAGAAATCTTATAAAATTTATTGTGAACCTGGATGGGTTATAGGGATTCAACTACTTAATCCTATTGAAAATAGAAGCACGGAAAATATTATTATTCATGATTTATTAACATTTAATAATAATAGTGATTCGTGGATACTGAAAAGAGATTTATCGGTATTTCCAGCTACTTCGAGTGCCCATGGAATAATTCTGGATTATTCTAGCGGCATAAACTCATTAGGTGGTACTGTTATAGTAATAACCACCATAAGAGCTCCAACGCAAAATATTTACAACAGAAGAGTCAGAGGACCAGTACCAACATTAACAGTAAGGAATAGTGTAATTAGAAAAAACAATTATGGAATACAAGCTTCTTATTACAACAGACACTTGGATGAGCTTGGGAACCACTTTTTGAGGCACGCAAATGAATCTCTGAGATTCCTAAATTGCGAAATTACTTATAATTTGAATGAGGCAATATTTGTGCATTCGCCCAATTGGGATTTACATAAGAGCAACCTGAGTGAAATCACTATAATGGTAAATAAATCTTTTATAGCTGAAAATGGTAGAGGCTTCTATCAATTTTCCAGAGATATGAGATCTTCTAACAATTTATTCCATTATATTTTACAAGATAATACAATTGAAAGGAATAAGGGGGATGGTTTTAGTATCGCTCTACCGTATGTTTGGGATTACAATGAAAACTTCACTCATTCAGTGTATATGGATAATAACACTTTTGTTAATAATAGAAATTTTGCTATTGATATTGATGGCCATTTTGCTGAGGTTAACATAACATCCAACGTTTTCAAAGAAAACAAATGTCAGAATGGTCTTTTAACAATAAAAGGAATGGAAAAGAAACTATTAATATGGAACAATAAATTTCTAGACAATAATTGCAAATACGTCGTATTATTTAGCTGTAACAGTCAATCAGAAATCATTGGAAAAATTCCAGCGGTATTTATCTACAACGAACTAAGAAACAACAAATACATTCAACTGGGAAGATCTTTTGGTGTGTTACAAAAGCTACAAGATCCACGTTTTGTGGTGGGCTTCCGTGGAATTCAAAAAGTTAACATTAATAGGAACATTTTTGCTGCCAACGCTTTAGAATACGAGCTTTTAGCTGGTATTAAAACAGCCAAAATTAACGAATATTTAAATGTTCGTGAAAACTGGTGGGGCACCAGCGTTGAAAATGAAATTGAAGCAAAGATTTTTGATTTTGACGATTGGAATGATCATGCAATAGCAACATTTAGGCCCTATCTGTTAGAAGAAGATTTTCAATCAAGTCACTCCTTAACATTTAATACTAACACTTCTATGGATGTAAATAACCTTAAAGGTCGCCTTTATCAAGACTTAGTCCTAACTTCCAGGCAAGAACCTTATTTAATCCAATCAGATTTAACTGTTATGCCTAATGTAACTTTAACAATCCATCCAGGAGTTACAATGGAGTTTGCTCCAAACATCGGAATCCTAGTTTTGGGTACTTTGCACGCTGAAGGTATCGAAGGCAAGGAAATTGTAATGCGACCAATAAGAGAAACTGGAAATTTACTAATGGAAAAAGCACCGCAAAGAGAAAAACGCGAACTCGAACTGATGGGACAGGAAAGCATCAGGCTATGTAAAAACCGAGACTGTACGTTGGAAGACGAATGGAATATACCTTACGAAGGATTTTTGGAATGGTTCAATCAGACTACGTTACAATGGATTCCGATGTGCGATTCCAGATTTACGGAACGGAACGCTCAAGTGGTTTGCAGGGACTTGGGATTCGATCCTTTACACGCCTTTTTCGATTTTGATGTTAGAATCGATTTTCATAGTAACTCGTTGACGAGGATTTGGACTTGGCCTGAACCTCTACAATGTCGAGGTAAGAATTATCAAGTTAATGCATGTTACCTGAAAAACTTCCACTCCGCCATTAAGTAAACAGTTGGTGCTTGGCAGCAATTTTTTAAAAGCCAACTGGGTTGCTGCGTAGACTGGTCGTCTCTTGTTCTGAGGGTAGTTTTGCATAAACGGTATTTTTTCGTTTCGGTAAAAATTTCCCTATAATGAGCTCCTCACTTTTCTCTTTATCCTTGAAAATTTTCGAAATTTTCCCTTTAGCAGTTTTCCAAAAAAAAAATTAAATGTGAAAGGATGAATTTTGCTTAAAAAAGTCAATTTTCCAGAACTTTCCTATCGACTTTCCTTAGAGTGATTTTTCACTAGAAAATTTTGAAAATTTCCTTTATTGAACTCCTCATTTTCTTCTTTCTTCTGGAAAAATTTCACAAGTTTTGCTTTATTAGTTTTCCAGAAATAAATTAAAATGTGAGAGGATGAGTTTTTCTTAATTTTACTTGAAAAAATCATTTAATCAGAATTTATCCTGGAGCGATTTTCCATTGGAAAATTTTGGAATTTTCTTATAATGAGCTCCTTACTTTCTTCTTTTTCCTCTTTTGCCAATTTTCTAGGAGACAATAATTGAAATGTGAGAGGATGAATTTTCCTTAATTTTACTTGAAAAAGTCAATTATTCAGAATTTTCCCTAGAGTGATTTCTCACTGAAAAATTTCGAAATTTTCCTATAATGAGCTTCTCACTTTCCTCTCTCTCTGCCAGTGTTCCAGAAAAAAATTAAAATGTAAGAGGTGAATTTTCCTTAATTTTACATAAATCAATTTTCCAGAATTTTTTATGGAGTGATTTTTCATTTGAAAATTTTAAAATTTTTGCAATAATTTCTGTAATTTTTATAGTTTTTCGTAAAATCCATAATTCTCGTAATTTTTCGTTATTCACGTAATTTTTCATAATTTCCATTTTTCGTAAATTCTGTAATTTTCTGTAATATTGAGAAAATTTCTTTAATTTACAAATAATTCCTGTAATTTTGAATAATTTTGAGTAATTCCTGCATTTTTGGAATAATTCCTGTAATTCCCCTATTTTTTTGTAATTTCCGTTATTTTTCGTAATTTCTGTAATACATATTCGAATAATTTCCGTAATTTCAGAATATTTTTTGAAATTCTAAATTATGTATATAATTCCTATAGTTTTGAATTGATAATTTAAAAAATATAAGAATTGCAAAAATTTCGGAAAATTTTACGAAAATTACAAAAATTGAAATTAGCAGAAATTGCAAAAATTTCAAAACTACAAAAAGTTACTAGATTTTTAAAAAATTATGAGAATTATAAAAATTAAAAGAATTAAAAAATTACGAAAATAATTTATTAAAGAATTACAAAAATTGAAAAATATTAAAAACTACGAAAAAATCAAAAAATTACCGAATTTGCGAAGATTCCTCAAAAAATTACGGAAATCACAAAAATTAGGAAAATTATAAAAATTCCATTAAAAAATTACGGAAAATACAGGAATACGGAAAATATAGAATTGATAAAAATAAATTGAAAAATTATAGAAATTTTAAAAAATACAGGGATCGCGAAAAAATGAAAAAAATCCAGTACATTACGAGCATTCAAAGTGTAAACATCGGAATACTTCGGTACAACAAAAAAGTGTTTTTTTTTCTTCTTTGTTTATTTGCGTTTATCGGTGTCTGTTGTTTTGTGTGGTTAAATATGCACAATGGAGTCGGACGAGGAGGAGGATAGACGAAAAAGGAAACGTTCAGGAAATCTAACACAACATCAAATTAAAAATATAATCATCGGACCTTAAGACGACACAACAAAAAACCAATCCACTAAAGTAAATTACTCTACAAAAATGCAGGCCATCACAAAAAAAGAATACAAACACCTGTTTTATTTATCAACAACAAAAAATATGACTAGATTAGAGTTTGCAGATATTTGGAATGAACAACAATCGGAAAAAAGCGATGTAATTGTGAAAACATCAAAAGGGTTTCTGCTAAAAACAGACAACAATAAAAATAAGATTAAGGAGATTCTTTCAAATATGGTCCAATCCAAAGTACTAACGACTTTTAAGGAAACTCAAGGTAATATGAAACGGGCGGATAATACATTCAGTGCAACATATTCCTGTGTCATTACTTCTGTTGAGAGAGATATTCCAGATTAAGAAATTAGTCAGAACCTAACCAATGAAGGAATAATACACCGGTTTTGCAAACGAATAAAGTCGCAAGCTACTGGCAATTGGACTACGTTATTAAGAATTATTATGGGCGATTTAAACTCCTTTGAAAAACTTCTCAACTACGGTTTTCCTTACAAATACAAAGTATATCCAGTTTTTCCCAGTAAAGCACCAGAGCCTCTACCAGTTCCATGTGGAAAGTGTTCACAGTTCACGCATACTACAGACCAGTGCCCAAATTCCATAATATGCCAAAAATGCAAAGGAAAACACCACACAAATTCCTGCACTACATCATTACCAGAAAAATGTGCGTGTAATTCTGAAGAACACCAGGCGTGGTCAACGAAATGTCCAAAAAGACCTCTTAAACCCATCGAGGGAATTCCAAGTACAAAGATTAAAACCCTAAATAAAATCAGCAAGGACATTCATTCCAAGCAAGCAAAAAAAAGTCGCATTCACCAACCTTTGAGAATCCATGACCACATAATCGAAACTCACGTCACCAATTTAAACGAAAATCACAACATTGAGAGGCAAGAACTTGTAAACAAGACACAACAGCAGTTTTCAGTGGGAATCGATTATACATCCTAATGTTTGATTTGGATGAGCCAGCAAAGAATGATTCACCAACAGAACCAGCCGACGGCTTAAAGTGTATCAAGATGAATAAGTTAAAATTTATATATGCAAACATAAACAGTTATACCTCCAAAAAACATCTTGTACATTATTACGCACAAACCAACGATATAGACTGTATTATGTGTGTGGAAACCAAGTCAAAGGAAAACACGTCTCCGGTAAACAACTGGGACATTATTCAACAAAAAGGTAATATTGTCAATACTAACATACGAGGCGGTTCATTAGTCCAAGCAAAACAACAGGTCAAGCTAGGAAAAGCCAATCCACCAGCAATCAATAATAGATTAAACAGTTGCTTGCACTTCACTATCCCTTTCCGAGAAAGTAAGCTGCATATATTATTGGTTTACATTCACCCCTCATCGCGCATAGAAGAAACCATATTTACAAAAGCCGCACTATACGAATACTGTGTCATAATTGGAGACTTCAACCCAAATGCTGGAAAAAAACAACAGTTGAATTTCTTCTTGCAGAACTCCGATTTTGTTAGAATCAACACACCACCTACATTTATCATGACGAACAACCCAAGCAGCACACCTGATATAATGTTATGCACTCAGAATATTAAGAAAAACATTAATACTTCATTAACATCAGACCTAGGAAGTGATCATCTCAGTATACTATGGACTCTAGATGCTACAATTCCTCCAGAAGATAACTACAAAAAAGAAACAAAATATAACATACAAAAATGTAACATTGATGTTGTAAATCAGAAGCTAGGGGAGTTTTTACATGAAGAAGAAGCAATTAATGGCAACTTTATCGAAGAATTTAATAAGAAATTGTCGGAATTAGTTACATCGAATTCTCCAAAAATAAGGAAAAAAAGATTTAACTAAACTTCATCCCTTCATAGTAGCACTAATTAAGAAAAAACGCCAATTCCAGGGTTGGACGAACTTCTGGAAGTGGGCCGGGAAATTTCAGTCTAGCGGCCCATACATTGATCGATTCATGTGGCACATTATTACCCCTAGATGTGATCTAATAATATTCAAGTTCATTATCACCAGCGCATCTGAATTTTCCTTTGTAAGTCGATTCCTTCATCGATTTCTTAGCTATTTAAGTGCTGAAAACTGCAAACCATTTTTCGAACCCTACTTGTGTGCACGCTAAAGTGAGGATGTGTGGTAGGCCTTAAAGATGACTCTTAATAAACATGGATGTGAAATCGGTATTTACTTATAGAAAACTAAACCACAGATCACCTAAATACAGATGCGTTAGTAAGTATCCTGGCTACCTTACCGCATGTCACAAATCGTCTGTATAGCCGATCATTTATAGTGCGTGTTCCAGCCTGTTGTGTTTACATAATATAACCTTGAACCACGAATTCACCGCTTTTTCGGATCTGTATATGCTGGTGATCTGTGACCAAACATTGTTTGCAGCGTAAATGTGAAGAACATTTAGAAAGTTCTGATTCATTCCCTGTATCATCTTTATCTTTATCGTTAAATTCAGGAAGGTCATACCGTCATTTTCAAGTTGAACCAAATCCTAGCGGCAGTAATGACATTAAATAACCTGAATTGTAAACAAACACCAGCTGGTAATTCAGCCTTCCTATTCATTGGTCCCTACCAGGACCAGTGCGCATGCATGTAGGACATTTGATAGGTTGTAATGAGAATGACCAGTTAAGTCATTACTGCCGCTTGGATTTGGATCAACTATAGGTAGGTACCTGATTTTATTCAAAGCAGCGTCTAGCATTAGTTCGGAAAAATTATTTGTATCCAAACCTACAAAATCAGCACAAATATCTCCTCAAATAAGATGCCTCTTTTTTTGTTATGATGCGATCCATGGCCACATCGTGTGATATTCCACCTCCAATTTAAAACAGCAGTAGCTGGAGGAGTATCATTTCTGCTGCCTCCCTTGGCATCTTCTTTTATCTTTTTTCCACGAGAACGAATTGCTGGTAATAAGGTTTTGAATTATAACGTCATTTTCATTTGCTTCCAGTCCTATATCAGCCCAACTGGAACACATTTTAGCACTGTTTATTACTTCTTCTATGTCGTGTTGTTCCTTTTTCAGTGCATCATATAAGTTGAATTGACCATTCTTTGTGCTTTCGGTTTGTTTTCACAGAAATCACAAACCAGTCAGACTCG